CACAGTTATTACAGCTTAATACAGCTGTAATTAAGGGTCCAGCTGTAATTAAGGGTCCTAATTAGAGCCACAGTTTAGCTATGTCTGCTGTATGCTAAAGCAATTTTAGCTAATGAAAGATTTTATAGGAAAACTCTACTTTCTAAAAGCGACAGAAATCTAAATATGCACATATTTTTAAGGGATAAATTAGTTAAAAAGTTTTCTTATAGAAATTTCTAAAACATTTTACAATGCAATGAACTTAGTCGGAATCAAATACTTTGCACTTATAATCATAACTTCAGTAATAATTTGTACTTTCAAAGGCGGAGTTAAAAGTCTTAAATTCTGTTATGTCACAGTTAAGACGGTTGTAAACCGAACATATTATTTTATCAATTTTCTTTACTTAACGTTCTTTTAACTGTAAACTGTGAAATTTTGCATATACATATTTAAATTATTTTAGTTTACATTTAGTTTAAACTAAACCCAAAAATTTAGTTTAGATGAAACTTCACTATATGCACAAATGTAGTTTAATTATTTTTTGACTCTCTTATTTTAAAATGATTTTTCTTCATATATATATATATATACCTTTGATCATGCTTGCTCAAAATTTCTTGTACCTCGATAAATTTAGAAAGATAACGGCTTATGCTTTATAGATAATACAATTAGATTATTTGATTCCGTTACTTAAGTTCTCACACTGTAAGGATCTTAAGTTTTACTAACGTTTATTTTATTTTAAATCTTTACTATCACTTCTTATTTTCTACTTCCGGCCAGAATTAAAAGCGTTAACTTATTTATGCAAAATTTGTCTGGCGAACGCCAAGTACTTAAGTTGTGGCTTTTTGCCAAGCGAGAGAGAGGAAGGAGTTAGTCGAAGCAGGCCGCTTACCTTAGAAGTTTTACTCAGTTGCTGGTTGCCTTCCAGGCCAGAGGTTTAATCCTCTTGATAATTTTAAACGTATTGTAGTATTAACAGTTCTCTGTACTACATACGGCTTCCTGTTAATATAAGGCCAATCTTCCACGTTTATTATTTCAAAGTTAGAGTTTAGTTATATTTTTATATTCTTACGTTTAGACCACAAGTAGTGGGTCTTTGTATTCCGAAGTACGGAAATTATTGTAAAGAGAGAAAAATAAAGGGTTTTGTATACCCTTCTTGTGTATCCTGTCTACTCCCCACAGTTATTGAACATAGCTTTAGTAAGCTCTCTGTTCCGAGTCAGGTCCTTGCATGTTCCCAAAGAAAGTAAGATGGAACATTGAACCTGATAACACTTTTATTATTCATGTTATAAAACTGCGGATGAATTTAGTAAAGAGAATTATTTAAATATTACTCTTATTCCCAATAAAATGTATGATAAGTTATTTTTCTACTTTTAGTTCATTAATTATTTTGAGTTTCCAGCAAAAATTTATGTTATTAATTAAAAAAATTTTTTTTCTTATTGCGTTCTAAAAACAAACAGCTACTACGTAGAAAATTCATTTCTTGGTGAAATTGCTCAGCATTTGGTATTACCAAAGCTTCTGGCTAACCTACAGATTTCTCTGCAATGAACCATTTCTGCAACACGGTTCCAGTTAGGTTTCTTAAGCGTTTGTCGAGATCGATCAGACATGAAATTCTGTAATTTTATTTTCTGCTTTTTAATAACCTACGAGTAGAAAATCGAGCACCATTATAATACTTCTAGTCTTAACTTTTCGTTGTTGATTAATAATATCCATTTTTCTTTTTTTTAGTGAATTATTAAACCCACAGGATTCCCTTTTATTCCCTTATCGAAATTTTGATCAATTTTCGACAATATTCTAAATAAATAAAGATAGAAAATAAACGGTTTATTAACTTGAAGTCTTAAAACAAAAGAATAACTTAAAACGGCAGAGCCGAGTTTTTCAGAATATCGCCGAAGAGCGCTTCTTACTTATTTTTCGATTAACGTTTCTTTGGACAGGAACCAGATTGTAGGGTGCGCTAAACCCCTGGTTGCTGAAACATCGGATTTTTACTGTTTCTGTAAACAATATCAAGAATGATATATCACTGGTTTATCGCTCGAAGTGCGTCGTTACCAGCTCAGATTGAAGTATCGCGTTTAAAAGGCGTTTGACTTTGCTTGACTCATGACACTGTGATGATCCGCAAGGACGAAAAACAGGAGGTGGTGTATCTGTAACTTCATCTTTCAACTTACACATTGTCGGAACTATTACAAGCTCTGTAATTTTGCGAGATCCATGACAAATAAGCCCTAAGGCATATGACATTAAGAAGTTCCTGGCGTAGTAATATCGCTAAGGGAAAAACGGAGGAAGGGTTTGGTTTATTTAATTATGACAAAGCACACTAGGGCTATCTACCTAAGGGGAGGGATGCCTTCGTGGAGGACTTTCTAAGGGAAACTGGCTCGTACACACGTTACACATGGGGAAAACCACGAAAACACCCATGCAGCCAGCCCGTTCGCGGGATTCGAACCTCAGACCGAATTACCAGTGTTCAGCGACTTTACCGCTCGGCCGATGGTGGGCAAACGGAGGAAGGGAGGGTAGCCAATGAGCTGAAGGTCAGAGAATCAATCCAAGAAATATATAAACTAGAAATCTGACTGGAATGTTGGAATGGAAAAACAGACATAGTGTGAAATCTTTAAATACGGGTGAAGATAAAATTATTTCAAAATGCAGTTTCAAATAAAAGAAAAACATATACATTACAAAACTGATAAGGAAAAAATATAAACATGAAAGTGCAATATTCACCCAAGTCTTCACCCAAGTCTTACCGACTGATATTATTCAAAGCCCCTACTGCCGCTAAGAATTTTCGGACACACTACACTTATGAGTCAGACACGAAGAGAACACTTTGCCAACTCCCCCACTAGAAAGAATGTAAGTTACTTAATACCTTTTCTGGCCTTTATATCTTCATGTACATTCACTGATCTTATTTATATTATTTTCTATATTATTTTTATATTATTTTTATATTGTCTTTGATTTGTTTTTACAAAGTTTGCATTATTTATCTTATTTTGTAATCTTCTATGTTTATTTCAACTTTACTTTGAATTCGATTTCATAATGACAATTTCCAATGTTTAATTTCTACAAATAATATAGTACTCAAATGCGTAAACATGAAAGAAAGTGTTGGGGATGGTTACTCGAGTTAAATAGGATTTCTCTACAGTAATTGATTTTTACTCCAAATTGAATTGACTAAAATGCTTCATAAGAATAAGTTCTTTGAGTATCAGCATTGATTCATAATTCCTTCTATTCGCGGAAATATTTGGCCTTACTAGAATTGCCGGTTTGGCTTTAACTTATAACTCGAGTAAAGACGAAACATTTTCGTATTTACGTATTTTAATCAATTATTGTTCATTGAACGGGAGTTGGTTTGTTCCCCTTGAAAATTATTTTCCGATCAATGACAATGATTACATGTTTTAATTTTTCCTTTTACAATTGAAATTTTATTCATCGGGATGATTAAACTCCAGTCCCCATTAAAACATTATTAACATTTTGCTTTCAAATTAATTCAAAACATCTTTCAAAATATAACTTACCAGTATGGATTCACACTTTTAAAATAATTCTACTTTAATTAAACTTAGGAGATAATATAATCAATTAATCAATACTGTTTAGGAAATAAATTATATATATATATAAGATTCAACCCTTGTGTAAAGGTGATTTAAGTGATGAAATCGTGATCACTGTTCATGAAGCGGTGAGAAGTCAGAGATCTCGTGTATCTATCTTCATGTAAAATTTCATAATTGAAAATCTGCGAGTAATTAACATAAAGCGATAACTGTGTTAAAAAATGTTCAATAGCTCTTCGAAGGTAAATTTTAATGTTCTCTATTTCGAGATCCTTATAGAGAAGAGCATTTCTGACAAAGTAGTAAGCATCAATGATAACTTCAAGGAATTTATTCTGAACCACTTGTAATATTTGTATTGTACGCATGTGAAGATTAATCAATTTCATACTAAAAATACTGAATACTTTCCATATAAACATCAGGAATAAGCAAAACACACACACACAAACACACACACACACACAAAAAAAAAAAAATTAATCTGCCCCGTCCCAGAAATATAGATAGCTTTATGGGCTGATAAAATTTGAAGATCACATATTGTACCACTGATCAGGCGTTCGGCAACCTTTTTGGTTGCAAGTCAAAATCAACCAAAATGTCTGCATTAATATGTTTCAGGTTAATCATTTTAGAACAGTCATTCTTGGTGAATAAGAATTCTTGGTCTCAATAAATTTTATTAAGAAAATAGTTACACAAACCCTTTAAATTTAAAAATTGAAATTATAATTTTGATTATTATAAAAACAAACATAATTGAATAAACTTTATTTTTCTCTTTAACATCAATGGTTTCCCTGATGCTAAAATTGTGATGTCAGTTTAGTCAAGTATGGCTTATAGTTAATTGTCTTAAGGTGAATATAAGCATCTGAATTTTCGGCAGTTTAACTGCTCCTGTTCTTACTTAAAATAAATTGTACGTGCGAAAATATTTGCTCGCATTTATAAGTTGAACCGTATGCGGACGAAATGGCAAAGCCAGTTTTTGTATATACTGACTATGGATAGTTGTTGTCAAACTTATCGATTCCTCTTTGAATTTATGTTACAGTTTTTATTTTTAAAACTGAAAATGCATGTTCATTACCGCAACATTATAGACAAACAAAAATCTTATGGCTATAAGTTATTTTCGGTTTAAGTATTCTTCAGGTGCTCGTTTCACGTTTATGTTTCATAATTCATTTTTCTTACAAACCCGTGGGTCATAGGTTGCAAAGGCCTGTCATAGATGTTTCTGACGATGATTCTGTTAAAAGCTAACATTCAGGTCACATAAGCGTCTTTTACGAGATTTAATTGCGCATTTGCTTGATGAAGTGCAGAACGTTCAATAATGATAAGAGAAGCTCTTACCCTTGCGTCACAGCCAGTCGGTCCCCATACAGCACGTGGGGCACCGCGGAGTAGAGAGGCGTAGTTGTCGGTGCAGGGCTAGCGGTGGGAGGCGTTGCCGAGTGGGGCGGTGGAAATCTGTGAGCGGCCAGCCAGCCATCGGTAGGAGGACCTCCTCCCAACTTGTACCTCCGCCACACGTCTTGTATGAGCTGAGCACGGGTCTGCTTCCGCCACTTGGCTCGCCGGTTCTGGAACCATACCTAAACATGTAAAAGTCTTTTCAATATTTAAATTTTACGATAGCCCTCCTTGAAATTTCCTGCTAATTAAAAAATAAATAAATAAATAAAATAAATTGAATTAAATTAAAAATTAATAAAGAAATAAAAATAATAATTTATTATTCATGATTAAATTTTCGTAAGAACAATTCCCATTAACTAAGTTTACAATAAATATTTTACGCACCGTTATTTCAACAAATACCGTGGGTTTAATAATGTACAATTTTATAAATTAAATCGTTTTAAACTTAGCTGTATTAGAGCTATATTTCAGTTTTATAGACCATATATTGAACATATATATACATAATTTATTTACTAAAATAATTTATTTACTGAATAATAATTGATTTACTAAAGAAATATTGATTATATTATCTTCTAATATAAATTTAGTAGAAGTATAATAAAATAGGGAACTCATATGTTGGAATATACACTGCACTTTTGGGTAATAAAATCACCAAACTGATTTTTTTTATGAATAAGATTTGGCTTGTGAGGCACTTTCCTCTCTCTCTGTATACATATGTAATAACACTGCGCTGTTATTGTGATATGACTGCGTTATTATTGTAATAAGATAACCTAGTAGAAGTAAGTTGCAACGGATTAGTGGTGGTTCTCTGCTTCATAATTTGAAAACTTGATTGCGTAGTAAGAACGATGGATGTATACCCCCTTCCCCCCAAACAAACTTGCAGACATGGCCTAAATTCCACAATTAATTTTATTTCTGGATAATACACATTATCACTGTGGGTGCGCTAGGCAACCCCCGCCCCAATTTTGTACAAATTACATCTTCTTAAAGGACGAAAATTAGAAAAGTAAACTTTGCATGGATAAGAGCAAGACGACACAAGCGTCTGAAAACAGAAGGGAAGACAGAAAAAAAGAGTTGCGCCGCAATTAAGCTTTTACACCTCATTCCATTTCAGATCCCATGGAAGTTTAACGTACAGGTGTTGGGTTCAGACTTCAGCCATAAGTGAGCAATACAGATTAGATGACGGGTCTTTTTCGTTTAGTTAGAAAAATTATTGCTCTGTTATTTTTAGAATGAAGACAGTAGTTGAAGGGCTATTAATTTGTTAGTTGAAAGCTAGATTTTTATAATTTACATATATGCACGCATGTATATGTACACATACGTTAAGACAGAGAGAAGTGTGTTTAATCGATCACGGAGAAACACTGAGAATTACCGTGAGAGTTCCTTCGCTGAATAACGAAACGAAAAAGAAATTGGGTATGTCACCAATGCTGAAAAGTAGAACCTAATATATTTTACCATTGATTACCATACATATACACATACATATTACAAAAGCCATTCCAATTTTTTGCTTTATTGTAGTTCCTACTATTTTTAGCAAAAGCGCATTTAAGGTAAGAGCATCTTTCAAAACCTGAAAAGGAAAATTTTAAAGTTACAACTAGGAAAATTTTAGAGCTACAACTTAATCGAAATAATTCATTTGAAAGCAAAAATAACTGCATGGAATGCAGTCAGTTAGCGATTGCTTTAATGTAGTAAAATGCTGTTAAATAATTTAAAATGTTGTTAAATAATTAAAAATGTTGTTAAATAATTTAAAATGTTAAATAATTTGTTACTTTTAAGTATTTATTTGGTTATTAATTTTACGTAATAAATTTAAAAATATTATTTGAATATATTTTAAAACATATCAGGATGTGAGACCTACATAAATTGTTTGTAATCATTGTAATATTATTTTATATTTTTACAGTATACAATTATATGTTAGACGCGTACTTAATGTAGTTTTGCTCTCAACACATACTCATGTAATTTCAATCATCTAATAATTTGATATCGGGTAATTTTATGAAACAGGGCCTAGATATAAAAAGTGTTTGATTTAGGAATCATTTGTAAATTACAAATTACAGTAATTAGTCTTAAGTGATTCATTTACACGCATATCCACTGGGTGTAATTCGCTCTCACTTATATAATTTTCTAGGAAGTTCTAGATAAGCATCGTAATGGTCAATGAGAAGAAAATATACTCAGAAGCTTTTTATAAGGAGAGATGAAAATAATAAAGTTGAAGGAAACTGTCACGTATTTTAACATAATTTAAGAATTGGGAAGGATTTTAAAGAAAGTAATATTTATAAAATGCTATCCTTAAATCGAAGAAATTTATCCCTAAATCAGAATAATTTGTCTTTGTTTTCTTATATTTCGGACCGGACCAAAGGAAGCAAATATTAAATCGAGGATTTGGTTAACTCGGATATCATTAGAATTTTAAAATTTTTAAATGTCGAGATATTTACAGTTTTATATATTAGGCCGTACAGAAAATATTTTCAAATTAGAAGACTTATTGTTAAAATTTTCCATTTTTTCCTCCCCCCTTTTTATTGCCATTACGTTTACTTACTCTACAAGACATTTATCCTAAAAAGTAAAGCACCTACAAATCACCACATGATGACAATATCGCAAGCCTGCAGTTTCTGACTATGCAAATTAAGTGAATTTTTGTCATAATGATTTGTGAGCACAAGATGAAATAAAGGATATTTTTATCTTTATATTGCACACCTTTTATATTAACTAAGACATTTGTACTGAAAAAGCCAGAAGGAAACTTAAGCATTAAAATCCTGAAATTAATGAAAATTAATTCTACGTTTACCAATTAAAAGAATTTTAGGCTTTTCCATTACTAGCTATTAAAAGACATTGTTTAATTAAACCCTATTTTAAAGATGCATTAGTAATATTTTTTATGAAATAATAGTATAAAAAGGATTAAAAAAAAAGGAAAAGACGTAAACTTAAAAAAAAAAAAACTGCCTCTAATATTTATATTAACTAACTCTCGCATTTTTAATACTCAAGTTTCATTCTTTTTATTTGAATAAACATTTATTAGTTAATACAAAAATATGAAATATAACAATAAAATTATTCCTTATTTCTTCTTGCACTCAGAAATCATTACACGAAAATTCGCTTAAATTTCTTATAGTCAGATAAACCATTTCTACAATGTTTTGCGATTTTTATGATCATCATGCAATAGTTTGAGATTTGTTTTATTTTATTCCACGATATTATGCACGAAGATGTTTTAAAACTACGAAATTTTTACCCCGCTTTATTTTTTACCACGCTATTTTAGAGCTGGGATGCTTTCTCCTTGCTTTCTTTTTTTTTTTTTTTTTCCCTCCTACAATGTTTTTATACGTCGATGTTTCCGCTTTGTTTTCGCAACCGACGAAGTTGTTTTCTCCGCAATGTTTTCATCATTTATCAGCTATGCAGTCACAGCAAATTAGTATTCTTCAGAAAAATTTCATTTTATATTCCCTAAGATCCGCAATTTAACTTTCAAACTAACAAATTAAAAATAAGTTGCATAAATTAATTAGCAATTTAAAAGTCATATACGTAATTTAGTAATTTTAAACTTAGTTTTATTTTTAATAATATTTCTAACTGTTGTAATTTATAATACATCTGATTCCTTTCTTTAGTACTATGCAGAAATTTCCCTAAGACAAATTTCCAAACCAATTTCGTTATCTGTGTAGACTAAAGAAAGTGGTCTTCAAACTGAGTTTCGCGAAACTTCGGGGTTCCAGTCAAATTAAAATCCCGGAAAGAAAATTATAAATCATTCACAGTAGTTGACTAGTGTGTATTAACTGAAAAATGTGAAGATACATTTAGTTATAAATTAGCTTTAAAGCTTAGTATGTGGTCATGATATATCAAAGAGAATGACCAAAACTAAAAACTAAAAGCTTTCTATTTGAAAAGGAAATCGAATTTATACGACAGTATTAAAATGAATCAATGGAGCACTTTTTTCAATTGATTTTCCAGAAAGAAAGCTAAGTATGACTGGATAAAATATCCTTTCGAGTACTAAGATAAAACAGAAGGCTTTGCTAGTGAAGGAAAGGGAAGAACTTATCGACGTATCAACAAATTCAACATTAAAATCTAAATTTAAGAGAGAGCAGCCCCTAAATGTTTGGTTATAGATTCATGCAGAATACCTAGAAGTTTTTCGCATAGCCATAAACATTTTAACGGCATTCGGAGTAACGTATTCAAGTTCAAATTTTTTCTCGACGTATGTGGCAACAAAATCAAAAGATAGAAATGAATTAAATGCAAAATATGAACTGCGACTGCAGATAACGTCAGTAGAGCTAGACTTCGACACTTTGTGTAAAACAAATGCAAGCATACCGCAGTCACTAAGCCTAAACCAAGTGTATGTGGCACCTGAAACACGAGTTAACGCTACTAATTAGTAAATTACATTATTTTTATGCTAAATGTTTTACTAATAAATACAATACTTTTCTTTAATTGTCATTAAATAATATTTTAGATATTATTTTAAGATACATTTTTCAAAGGGTCGGATTGGATTCCCCGAAAAACTTTGCAGTTCTAAGGTTTCCGTGAGTTTTTAAAGACAAAATTTGAAGACCACAGCTTTAGAGGATATATTCAGTATTAATACCTAATTATGCGCTACTAAGTACTAATCGCTTTCAAAGCTAGTCGGTCATCATGAAAGATTTCACTATATATCTAAGTAATAATTTTCATAAACATCAAAGCTAGTGTTATAAATTCAGGAAAGATATTTTCAAGATAGATAGATACAAGAGTGCAGAATAAGTAAGTTCCGACATATATTCTTGAGATATACACATATACTTCATCAAGTCAAACGGAAAATAATAGCACTGGAAAGAACATTTCCATTATTAGTAATTAATAAAACAGAATTCCACGCAGGGTAGCACAGACTTCATACCATTTATAGTCTCTGCTGTAGGTTTTTAGTACTGGTAGCCGTAGATTAAGTTTCATTGGAATTTACGATTGACCGGAAGCATCATGATTGGGAGAAGCACAGCAGAAGTGCGAGTAGAAGAAAAAAAAACTAAATGTAGTTTTGATGTTA